ACAAACAATTAGGAATCCCAGCAATGATTAAATGTTAGCACACAATAAATGATTTTTAAACTAATCATCTCATTCACTTGTGTCCTTTTAGTTGTATAATCATCATGAATAAAAATAGCTCAGCTGTCTGAGAATGTAGGCGCTACTTGTCTGAAGATTTTAACCTTTCCAAAATAAACTGTTTCATTCTGTGCAGTGTGTTTCTTCAAAAAAAAAAAAAAACCTCTGCTTGTAGCAATGTTTCTTTTAATCTTTCACACAGTCCTCCTCTCTTCTGTGCTCTAGGTTATCTTTATCTCTAATCCCATTGTCTGCCTCTCTCCATGTCTGCTTCAGTTTCGTGCAGTTTCAGGCTTGTATTGTATGCTTTCAGGTGTCATAAAAAATTGGGTTGTGTCCAGCTCAGCAGATAGGACAGTGCACCAAGCTGCTATTCTTGTGAGTTTGTATGAAAACTAACCACATAAAGATGAGCTAAAATGTTAAATTGGTTAAATTACTCTAAGGTAATAGAGTACAGCTTCTAATAAGGAATAACTTTATTAAATGATTCAAAGATATATATTTAAACAACATGACATAATCAAATAGGACAATAGTAGGAATCATCCAGTTTGAGGACCAGTGTATTTGTTTATGGATTCCCTAAAAACTTCATGATTCAGCCATGTAGTTTTATGCAAATTATAATTTAATAAATTGTTAACAAACCTGCTGAAAGCATGCAGTTACATATGGCAAAACAAAACACGCTAAAGGCTGTGAGACTGAGCAAACGTGGACCAAGTTTTCCCCATAAAGCCACTGGTGACCTCAGATTGAGACTTAGATTTAATAATTTTACTGGTGAAGTTTGCATTGCAAATGTGGGTCAGGTAGCACTGAGCTATGTTGCCTGAGCATAAGCCTCCATGGGAAACTACTGAGCGCAAGTAGGAGCTAAGGAAGCAGTTAAAGGAAGCAAAGTAGAGGAGAGGAGCAAAAGATGGGTGACCGAGTTCAAGCTAAATGTAGGTTCTTGAATAATTCACTTCCCCCTGCTGGAAAGAAGGCCTGGTCCTTCAAAAGGCATTTAAACACTTATCATGTTCTGTGTAACTCCTCTTTCATATGACTATTGTATGTCTGCAGCATGTTTGTTTTCTTCTCTCTGCTGTCTTCTTTGTATGTTTACCTTTTCAACATTCAAAAGCTGCTTTCTTTCACTTCAATCTATCGTGTGTGTTCTTTTAAGCATTCAGTTTGAATGTTGCCAAACACGATCAGCTGAGCAGCTTCATAGCTACAGTTACTGTTTCATCAAGCGTCACGTTCTAGAGCAGCGCCAGAGACAATGAACAAAAGCCTGATGTCCAGCAGGTTTGCTCTTTGTTCTTTCAATTGAGCTTGATGAGGCATAAAGTTTACCCATATCTCTGGAAAACAACAACAGGCATAGCTGTGGCCTCCCATCATTCTTTTACTGCACATTAAATCATTAAACATTGTGTCTATTTGTATTATTTTTGTTGCATATTATGGTATTAAAAGCTGTGGGTTAAATATTTTGTGGAATGGAAGTTAGGGATCATGTCATTGCCAGATCCTTTGTAGAAACTGTGAGTGATAATAGGACCCCACCCCCCACACACCAAGAGGGCCCCAGGATATGTTCATGTGCTGCAGTGCAGACGATCCCAATTATGCATGCCACACCCAGATCAATCATGTCAAAGGAGGCGTTTCCCCTCTGCTCTCAAAGACACAAAATTTGCAGTGAGTCACAGGTTGAGATGCGAAACGTATTACCTGTAAATCCACACAGTGCAATGGCAGCTTGCTGTCTGTTGCCATTCAGCGATCATTTTTATGTTACAACCCATTTTGTAAACACCTTTTCATAGATTCACGGTCTTAAATTTGCACAGTCAGATTCCAGTGAGCTGAACTCTAGGCCATGTGCTTTAAATGACATAACAGATCATTATCTTTGATAAATTCTTGCCCTAGTTCCCAAACTCTGTTGGGCTGTGCTGGAATTAGCGAGCAGAGGATTAACCCTTTAAAGCCAAATGTATCATTTGATACACAAAATGCCTGTTGTAGCAAATATGATACAAATTTAAACGGATATGTGATTTTGTTTGTTTGTTTGTTTGTTTTGTCAAAAGATTCACTAAATGCAATTCAACCTTTAAATGTTTTTTAAAAAACAAACAAACGAAAAACCATTAAGGGCTTTAAAAAACCAACCATTCTCTCAAACTGTACAATTTTAGTGTTTTGCTGCAGCTGCCTTCTTGGTACCTTCACACATGCAGGAGAATTTTGTGTTTAAGAAGCGTTGTTCTGCATTATTCTCTGTGTATCTTTCAGCTTTTTCCTGTATTCATCTTCATCCGCTTCTTCTGAGCAAAGCACACAAGGAATGCAGATCAGATTTACTGTGCATGTATTACACAATTACATATTTATATACCAGACTTATTAGACAAACATTTATAGATCTACTTGAACACAACAAACAATCATCAGCTGCTTGTCAGCAAAACTCTTTCCAGTGCTCAGAAGGTTGCTGTCCCTCTAATTAAAACCCAGGGGAAACGCCATCAATCATGTCAGATCAATATGAAATGAAATCAAAGATGGCCAGTTTTCAGCTTTTTGTCACTTTAACAGTCTCCCATGCTGCTTTGTTATCTTCCTAGTAGGGGCAACATCGCCACCAAATGGTGTGAAATGGAAACATCTTCGTATGGCTAATACTAAAAAACAACTAACTTGATATAAAGGCGAGTTGCAGCAGTAATACAATTTTTTTTTATTGATTAGTTTATTCAAAAGTGAAAAAAAAATGATACAAGCAATACTCCAAATTGATTGGATTACAGAAAATGCTAAAACAGGGAAAACAGTATAACAACCCTGACAGGTGCAGTTATTGTTTTCACAATAGTCTATAAAGAACAAAAAACTGGACCACTTATACACTGCTGATATGTGCAGCCTGCTTGTACAAGCATGGATTAAAGGATTTCATGGCTGAGAGGAAAAACAAGCAGCAGCTGTATCCTGCAAGGTTCCTGTTGCTTCTGTAGTGTTGAGTTTCTAATATCTTTTGAGCAGGTGTAAAGCTATCTATACAAATGCTCGTCAACATGAAGACTGTTGCATTTTTAAGCTCAAACATGACAGATATGTTGGATTCCATATGAGGCAAAACATTGCATCTGTATTTTTTATCAGCAAAGACTTTGCATTTGTTTTTATAATAGGCCGCTGTGTGTTTAATTCTCAGGTTCCCATCACCCTGCGCTTCCCAGAGGTGGGTACATGCGCTCCCCCTCGTGGACACGATGCAGCAAAGTTGAGCCTCCACGAGAGAGAAAGCACCACAGTGACTCAGACACCACAGAGCCCTTAATGAAGCTGGAAAGGCCAAAGCAACCATGATCTCTGACATGAACCAACCAGCCTGCAGAGAGGAAAACAAAACCCAGAGCCAGACATACAGCCAGAACGGTCACACAAAGCGGACCAAGATGCCTCGTTCTGCCACCGTGCTCTCACATAATCTTACATGGTGCTGGCGAGTTCAGGCTGAACTCTGGACACTGTGCTCTCTACTCTAACTAAAGATGCTGAGATGTGCAATGTGCACACTTTCTTCTCTCCCCGTCCCATTCTCTCCCACACTCACAAACACATGCAATCATTGTGTTGCTCAAGCAAAAGGTTCTTAGTGCACTCTGAGCTGCCAGATTATAATCTTTGTTTATTGGTTGACAGACAGGGTATTAGGTCAGCAGAATAATAGCACTTTTATCCGTGAAACCTCTCAGCATGGGCTTGCACAATGAGATTGATCCGGACATAACCACAGCGTTAGGTTAGACTTCACGTGAAACTCAGATGACAGTGAGCTTCACTCTCAATTACAAAGTCATAAGATAAATCATAAATCAAACATTTGTTTTCCTAAATGAAACATCACAACGATCTCTTATTGAGGCTAATTCTGTAACGCCTCGAAGTAAGTTAAGTGAAGCAGGGGGTGTTGGTTTCTGCAAGGCTCAGCTCTATCCACCACCTTTTCTCAATCGTAATGAAGAATGTGTGCTGTTATTTTAAATGCCTAAATAAAAATAATGCACTTCTTCACTGAACTGTATATACAGTGCCCTGCAGAATTATTGGCATTTGGTGCAGATGATTCACAAAGATAAACAGACCAAGTAGCAGCTATATGCTATGTACTTTTCCACACCCAACTTTGTGTTTGCAAAATTTGCTCACTTTATCATTATGAATAGATTATCTGCTACAATTGCTGCTACTAGCATAAAGCAATCCAAAGTTAGTAAAAAAAAAGTTACACTGAAACATTATGGGGTAAAACTTAAAGCAGTTAAAAAAAAAAAAAAGGTCAAATCTCACTATAGGCAGATTCATGCAAAACAAAGTGCCAACAATTTTATAACTCAAATCTCCCAAAAGGTGAATTTAACTCCTGATGCAATATTTCTTATTTTTTTCAGTAAAGGGAATAGCTGATTACTTGATTTATTTGTCGCATATTCAGCTTGTCTATACCAAGAGTGCCAATAATTCTGAATGCTGTGACACAGTGGATTCAAAGTGACACTGGGATGGTAGAAGGAAAAAATAAAATGAAAACAGTGTAAGTTATTATGTGACTTCTGTTGTTACTAGTGTGGAGGAGACCCATTCTGTATTGTATGGTATGGAGAGCAATTGATTTCATATCAGTCTTTCGCTATAAATGTAGTCTGCGCAAATAAATATGCACATCTCTCATGTTCACTGCAGACAATGTGCTCTATAAATAGCAGGGAAACTATGGCAACTGCCAAACCCAGTCTGAGATGGCTGTTCTGTTAAAGTTTTTAAATTCAAACAGAAATTTTAAACTTTATTTCACCATCCTTGGATCTCCAAAGAATTTGAATAATCATTATTATTAAAATTATTATAGCACCAATGTACCACCGGCTTACCATTAATGGGAATCCTGGCTAAAAGTGCAAAAGTACCCACTTTACTCATATTGCAAGTTCAAGTACTGATTGGTATATATTAGTCTACATATTTGTATATAATAGTACAATAGTTACAAAAATACTATTTACCCAGCAGAGGAGCAGCTGGCATAAGAAATGCAACAGTAGATGACAGAGTGTAGACAGGAAGTAGGAAAAAATAAAATAAATACATAACTGACAGAGTAATTTCCTGAATAACAGCAAAGTTCATGTTTTTACAGTACCAAACAAATACTTTAGTGTTTGTATTACTTTAAGCTGTTGCTAATTTCTTTTATCCTCATTAAATGTGCTGAAAGCACAGTTTGAAAGAATAAAAGGACAGAAATCTTCCTTAATCACTACTTTGACCAGTGAACTATGCAGGCGATATTTTCATATATTCTAAGGGACAGTTTGTAACACAGAGACAAGACAAACAATATGACCCATACTGAGCTACACTTTCCCAGAGCTAATCCGAAGTTCTTATATCTACATAAATGTTTACCCTGATTATTATGAGACACTGGGAGACACTGATTAGTATGCGCAGAGAGAAAGCTAGAAAACATTGACTGATTTCTAATTACCTTTACTGATAAATATACGCAGACTCCAAGGAAAACAACATCTGCAAAAGGATTGAAATATAAAACAATCAACAATCAAATAGATCTGAACTTTAAACATGTGGCAAATAATAGGATAGAATAGAAAACTGTATGAAAATCCAAACCTCAAAATAAAACTTAACACATGATTCCTGCGGCTGATAAGAACATAGCATGATGGCTTATTCCCTTCTAATAACATAATATAATTCTCTTCTAATTATTCATGGTATGTTTTGTTAGTATTATTGCACTTAGAGACTTCCACAGAGTGAAAAAAGGAAACATAAGGCAACTGCAGCAAAATAGTGCACTTGTACATAAAAACTACAATGAAAAAAATTGCAGATTGCACAAAACCTTGGGCAACACATCACCATCTTTTATCCTAAGGTTGTCAGTCACATGAACCACTAACAGACCTCTGACAAACTGCAGTCCAGACCAGATGGTGCCGCACATGAGAGACAACCTTAAAGACAACCTACAGGTAAAGGGCTGATGTGTTTTGCCGATTCTGCAGGTGTTTTGTATCTCCTTTGTTGTTTTGCCAGTCTGTTAGTCCTTCAGGTAGAAAAGTGTCTTCTTTAGATTTCTCCAAGCAATCAACAACCTCTTGATATGAGGACTTCTCTTGAAAGGGGCGAGGTCCTAGCAGTTCCACCATGTCAGCCCTGTCTAGAATCTCTTGGTCTAGAAGATGCTTTGCCACCTGCATTACATGACCAACAGGAAACATCAAGCTTTGAGGTCATTAAAATACACATTTTTTTCATACTCCAAATATATGACAGTTTTGAAAAATGCTCAAATGAAAATCCATTTGCAGCATCACACTCTGCAAATGTCTCTGAAGCACTTACTACAAATGTTAAAAAGTTCGCACCTTCTCCACCATTTCCTTCTTGTCAAGTATGAGCTCAAGTGTTCGTTGGAAGGCAGCATCTATGAGTGAGCGAACTTCCTGGTCTATAACCTGGGCTGTAGATTCACTGAAAGGTTTGTCAGTTATAAGGCTGCCCCATTGCGGTAGGTCAAAAGAAACCTGACCCACCGCACCATTCATTCCAAACTGTACAATCTAAAATATGAAGAGAAGAAGAATATGAAGACTGGAACAGAAATATATAGTCAATAAAAATCATAAATTATTCTCTATGAGTCATTTTAACTCCATGGATGGTTATGCTTTTTTTTTTGTTGTTGGACAAAATACGGTTTGGTTACGCCTAAATTTCTACAATAAGCCTGTTCTGCAGTGAGGCGAGTACCTGTGCATAGGCAGACTGTGTGACTTTCCTGAGATCATCTTGTGCCCTGGTGGTGACTTGACGAAAGAAAACCTGCTCAGCCACTCGACCACCCAGCATCATGCACATTCTGTCAAACAGCTGCTCCTGTGTGAATAGGTACTGCTCTTTAGGTAGATACTGTGCATAGCCCAAACCTGTCCCTCTAGGAACAAGTGACACCTGGTGGAGTACATTATAATGATGAATCTATAATCATTTAATCATTATAATTATTACAGGATTACTGCAAAGAGAGAGCAAGAAATGTAAATAATACCTTAAAAAGTGGGTCTGCATGTTCAAGAAACCACCCAGTGACAGCATGCCCAGCTTCATGATATGCCAGAGTAGTTTTTTCTGGAAGTTGCAGAACCTGAGATCTTTTCTCTAGACCTGAGAACACGACAGAGATCTTAAAAAAATGCTTAAATCATAATATTAACATCAGGTTAATGGATTGACAAAAAATAACATATAAGCTCTATATTTTGACACCACTGCTTTTATAACTCAGTTGTACTGTATTGTCATTGTATTTATGTAATCAAAAAAGTGGTTATGGAAAGATTCACATATATACTATCAGTTTCTTTTGGTTCATTTTGTTTGACTTACCTCCAACAACCCTTTCAACTGCCCACTCAAAGTGTTTGCTACTGACATACTGGCTGAGACGACGTGCAGCTATTAGAGCTGCCTCATTACACACATTTGCAATGTCAGCCCCTTATACAAACACAGAGAAGCAACAAATAAGTTAGAGTGTGATGAAATTAAAGCAAGAATCAGCTGAAACTGTATGATTTTCTTTTTTAGATTTGTTTGGTATTCAGTGATCATGATCTTTTATTCCCACCAGTAAAATCTGGGGTTAAAGCAGCAAGATTCCTGGCCAGCGTCTCTACATCTACACTGGAGTCCAACTTCAGAGGTCTTAAATGCACCTTAAAGATTGATGCCCTGCCTTTCATATCTGGAGGACCTGCAAAAAACAAAAAAGAAGACCACTGTCTGTATAATTCATTAATAAATCACTCTGCTTCAAGTTCTGTCACATATACAGCACTGTGCAAAAGTCTCACTCCTTAATTCCTTTATATTTGGTTTTCATTGAGCTAGACTTTTCTAAAGTGATCTTGAGAAATAGTTCATTAGGCTTTCGAGCAAAGACCTGACACAGGACCAGAGATGCATTTGGTCCTTCAATTAATCAATCTGCTGTTCACCAAAGCCTCATTAATAATGGTCTAAGTGGAAGGGTGGCTTTCAAGAAGCAATTCTAAAGGAAGAGCAACCGGAAGAAAAGGCTGAAGTATGTCAAATTATGCAAGAATTGGACTCAAAATGAAGTACTGAAACCAACTTTACAATTTTTAGTTTAAAGGCTCATCAATATGTATGGAGGAGCTCATAAGAGAACCTGCCCAGATCCTGAAGATCAACATTATTGAACCTGAGTGGGATCATTTTGATAGTGTAGAGAACAAAAGGAGCCAACATCTGAAAATAACTTTGATTGTCCTTCAAGAAGCCTATTCCTGAAGACTACTTGAAGAAATTACAAGAAAATTGCCTGAGAGAGTTAAGGCTGTGTTGAAGAATAAAGGTGGTCATATCAATGAATGCAATGAACAGCCTACGTCCATTGCAGCCCTTAGTTATGCTGCAATAGATGTAGGCTGCTGGGGATTCCCATGATGCATTGAGTTTTTTCTTTCCAGTCACCTTTCTCACTCACTATGTGTTAATAGACCTCTCTGCATCGAATCATATCTGTTATTAACCTCTGTCTCTCTTCCACAGCATGTCTTTATCCTGATTTCCTTCTCTCACCCCAACCAGTCGCAGCAGATGGCCGCCCCTCCCTGAGCCTGGTTCTGCTGGGGGTTTCTTCCTGTTAAAAGGGAGTTTTTCCTTCCCACTGTCGCCAAAGTGCTTGCTCATAGGGGGTCATATGATTGGTGGGTTTTTCTCTGTATCTATTATTGTGCAATCTACTGTACAATATAAAGCGCCTTGAGGCAACTTTTGTTGTAATTAATTAATTAATTAATTAATTTGGCGCTATATAAATAAAATTGAATTGAATTGAACTGAATTTAACTTGAATGTTTTTACCTAATATACTGTATTTCCATGTATGTTTGAAAATGCTTTAATAAATTACTGCACATATGTTCAGTTTATCTAGCAAAATATAAAGAATCGAGAGGCAGCTCAAATTTGTTTGCACAGTACTGTGCAAACAAAAAGCTTATAGAGCTGATGCTGACAATTACTCAGCCTTCTGCTGCATTACACGTGCACAATTAGCAACTGCAAAAATAGTTCACTGAAACCATGCCAGCATGAAAAGGTGGTGAATCTTGTTTGTAGAAACTTTACAATAACACTTTTTTTTAAAGGTTTATATTCAGTCGAAAGGCAGAGCAAATTCTAAAACAACAATGTATTGACTTAAAAGTTTCAGTACAGAAGCATTAACTCCTACTGGAGGAGAAATGTTTTAATTCACTTTTAAAGCCATGAATTCAGCGTAATTTATTTTACCATTTAAAAACCCTTTGTCATTTGCAAGCATCCAGGAAAGGACCCAATATAAGTCCTAAGGCAGTGGCCAAACTTGTGGCTTGGAATACCAAGTTACATAACTAATTGCTCATTAAACCAATTAGAAATGTGAACTTTTTCAGCACTCCCATCTTTCTGTCATCTGTTTACAAAAGACAATATACACAGACAGAAGGACGGGGAACAGAGAATAACAGGGAAATGAAGAGCAACATATCCCATCCCTCGTGTTGGCCTCCAGTTACCTAATCTGTCCTTTATAGAAAAACAGCTCTCTCATTATGATCTTGTTTTCTTTGATAGAGAAAAGTGGTCTGGCCACCCACCCTGTAGTCCTGGTGTTAGGAAAATTAGATCTTAGCAGGCAGGAAATATCAAATTAACCGAAGATAAAAGCAAACATTATGCAACACGTGCTTTTAATGACATAAGACGTAAACAGGCAAGAAGAAACATACAGTAAGTACAAGATATGAGTTTCAATAATGTCAAACGTAACACCTCATCTAAAGCAGGGAAAGTCAAAGTTATGCAGACCATCTGGGTCTGCATGCACACCAGAGCCAGTGAATCACATGTGGAATAATAAACTGGGAAACAGAAATCAAAAAGAAAATAAACTTAATCACAGCAAAAGTAAAAGTGAGCTTGGTGTTGTGGTCAGACACCAATAATCTGAAAATTAACTGAAATTTGAAATGCATCTTAATAAACAAAGAAATAATGGTTTTATATTTATAGTTTTCATAAAAGGTAACTGAGTTGCAACAAGCGAGGAGACTGCAGAGGAAGTAGGCAGATCTGAGGTTAATATTTATACTTCACCTATGTATACATGTCGATCAAAGCGTCCAGGCCTCATCAGAGCTGGATCCAGGATATCGGCTCGATTTGTGGCAGCTAAAACCACGATGTTAGTGCTGCTGTTGAATCCTGCAATGACAAAACCATTTAGAGGACTGAGGGCTTGTGAAAAAATAGCATCAGAAATGTTGACATAAAACATAATTACCCACCATCCATTTCCACAAGCAGCTGGTTGAGGGTGTTCTCCTGTTCGCCCTCATCACCAAAGTTTTCTTTGCCCCGCTTTCTGCCGATGGCATCAATCTCATCAATGAAAAGAATGCAAGGAGCATTTTTTCGAGCTGTGGCAAACAAATCTCTTATCTAATAAAACACAGAAAAGATCTATTTATTTCTACAGTTATACTAATTTTTGACATTGCCAAAACACCCAAAAGTAGAAAGTCTTCATCATTTTAATTTGATACGAGAATGAGTAATTCAGTGATCTGCTGTATTTGCACATATTGTGGTCACACTGCAGCATCACAAGCATGTGACCCATCATTGTGCTTTCAGACCCGTTGAGAGTCCAATCATTCAGCTCCGTACTAACCCTTGCTGCACCCACACCGACAAACATTTCCTGGAACTCCGAGCCGTTGACTGCGATGAAAGGAACGTTGGCCTCTCCTGCAGTGGCCTTAGCTAGCAAAGTCTTCCCATTTCCAGATGGGCCCCATAGCACTGCACCCTGTAAACAAGGGAGTTAATCAGATTTAATGTATTTTCTATCTTAAGGAATTTTTTGTTCCAGTGAGTATGATCAGAATACAGAAGTGCAGAATTGCTTTATTTTAATAAAAATAATAAATTTCTTTATCAAGAAATGACACACCTTAGGAATCTTAGCACCCAGGTCATGATACTGACGTGGGCTTTTCAGGAAATTGATAAACTCCAAGATATCTTGTTTGGCCTCCTCACACCCTGCAACATCTTTAAAATGGACACTGACATTGTTTTTAATTATCCTGGCTTTGAATTCACTTATCCCAAAGAGGCCTCCTCTCCCCCAGCCACCAAGTCCTCCTGCCATCGGCCCCTGCCGTGTTGCAAAAAGTAAAAATCCGACCACAAGTAAGATTGGGAGAACACTCAAAAACAGAGTCCTACGGGAAGAGAAAAACCTTAGTTAGGACATCGATTCTAATAACCTATAAATGCAGTAACTTTAAAGTGAAGCTGCTGTATTTTCTCACCCATCACTTTCACTGCTGTAGAGCACAGGTACTTTCTGAGTGGAGTCCAGACCTATTTCCTGCTGTGCTAGCTCCAGGTTATGCTCAAATGAGTCTGCGCTGCCAATGTTGAACCACAAATAGTTCTGAAACATGAAGACAACAGCATGTAGTATATGTAGTAAGTATATCTACCTTTACTGTACTTTGACTGACTCTTCATCTGGACTGCGGCCCCTCGGAGGAGGCACACTACCATTGTGCATTGTTAGAATAGCAATTGTTCCTCGTGTGATTTTCTCAGTGTAATCAGTCAAATGCCTGCTGCAAATAACAGTTAGCAAGCTTTATTTAGAAAAAAAAAGCAACTGATAAGGAAAGACAGTGAGAAAATGAAAACGAAAGTACTTATGTGCCAAATACAAATATGCTGACTGCTGAGATCTGTATTTTAAAACTTGTGCTCTTGGAATTTCAGAAAGTATGTGTGTCCTCTACCAACAAAAGCAAATGGGAATACAGTGTGTGAGAAAAAGAAAGATGTTTGTTTTGTTTGTTTATACAGTCATTTTTATCAATATAGTGAAGTACATTTTGTCGATTCTCATCAGTTTAACAGTAAAAATAAATGCATTTAGTTTGTATAAGACACTGCAATTACACACTGGGACATTTAATGAAACTGACCACTCGAGATGTGTTCACGCCGGGGGCTGGAAATACTTTGACATACTGTTTGTTGACAACCTCAACATGGCCCACCTGGGAGGAGAGCAGAAGGAATCATTTGTTCACATGGTTGCAAACACAAGCACAGACACACAGGTGTAAGGAAGACACCGTAATTAAAACGATCTCTGCCTCTCACCAAGCCTCTACTCAAGTAGTGATGCACAAAATCCTTCCAGGAGATCTGGACTCCTGTTTCTCTAAAGTGAAAGTACAAGAAAGCTGAGGCCATGCCTGCTGCACCGGCTGCTAGGTTCTGGACCGTTTTATCATCAAAGGGAAATTCCTCCTGTTAGAAATAGGATAATGAAAAAATATTTTAGTTTACAACTCCTATATAGAATCATTTTAGTAAACATATTTTGTTATTATTTAGTGACTGAAGACGAGGCAGTTATTGCCACAATTCTGGCTATGATTCACACCTGAAAGCGTGACCACCAGTATGATTCCCCTTTTTTCCATCGTTTTCGTCTTTGGTCCTTCCCGTTATTTGAGTCCTGCCATTCCCTTCCACGAGACTCTTCTTTTATATTTCCATCTGAACAGCAATAATAACACAACTGTTCATTGCGGCAGAGCTGAGAAATACAGGGCTTACAAACTCACTGGGTAAAGAAATTATACACAGTTCAACAATACATAGAAAAGTAAGCAATTGTGTTCTTCACACTGCCCTTAAGGTTTACAGTCTGTGTGCACACTGATTTAGAGTCATTAAAAAGGTAAACAGCACTAAAAGATGGACTACCTTTTGGCTGTTTCCTTGAGCTAAGTAACCGAGTAACTTGGAAAATGTGTTGATGTAAACCTCCGCATCTTCTTTGGATGAGTGATTTCTTCTGAAATAGGTTAGCAGCGAAGTCAGTCATCAAAAGCCATGTATAAAAAGAAATGTACATGAAATAGATTCAGTTCAATTAAATTTTATTTATATACTGCCAAATCACAACAACAGTTGCCTACAATAATACATAGAAAACAGAGATGTAAACAAACTAACTGAGAGAAAGGATACAGTCTCATGAAGCAGAGACTGTATTCGTGTTTTTACATTTTAAAAAAAACTCTTTTGTTTGCTCACATGTTTAAGGATTACTGAAATCTGATTAAGATCTAGGCACACTAATTATATGCAGTCATTGCAACAATAACACTGAACAGCTGCTGTTAAGGTCAAATATTTACTTCATTTTGGCCATCTGCACATATTTAATGTTGATTCAGTTATGTTTATGGTTTGACTAAACTGATTACCATACAACTGCTCAAATTGTGATTCACTATGAGAGAGCATTGCTCAGTATCAAACATACATAATAGTGCACGCAATAAAACCATTGCTGCAGGTTATGACTCTGGAAAATTCATCTTACACAGCTCAACCATACACATTCACACCGGTATAGTGGAATACAGGAACCTGTTGGTGACAATTTTCCCCTATACAGTTGACTACAGAAAGAAACTGAATACTATGAATGTATTTTTAATAGTAGTTAGTAGATTTTTTTTATGAAGGAGAGACAATGGGTGATGCAATTCATCTTCTTAAACAGTTTTAAATATTAAAGGCAACTGGATGGATAAATGAGCGAGAGAGAGAGCCCCTTTAAAAACAAATGTATTATGAAACTGAGGAAACTGATTTATAAACTACATTAACGGAACGGACATCGCCTACCGTGAGAGAACAAACAATGCAGGAATGATAAATAAACACTGCTGCAGCTTGCTTGGGGTTTTTTGGAGTTGACTGCTATATCTGGATTTTAAAAAATACCAAAAAACAAACTTTTAACATAATTCCTTGCAAACCATTGTTAGCAAACGCAGGTGACAAAAAAACTTGTAGTGTAGTTAAGCTGATATAAAACAATAACGGCGTTTTTACAACCTACCGATGTGAGAACCACGAAGAAGCGAAAAGTAGATGAAGAGGAATAGTTGCGGCTCAGCGTCCGGACTCGGTTCCTACAGTAGCCGACAGTCAAAGAGAGGAGACTCATCCTGTCAGCCCGACTGACTGACGGACCGACTCACCGAAGAGCCATTAAGAGAGGCACCGGAGGCACGGTGCGTATCACAGTCATCTCGCGAGATTTTGGTTACAGACGCTACAGGTAGGCACCAGTCTTCCAGCGGTTTTTTTTTTGTTGTTTTTTTTGTTTTTTGTTGTTGTTTTTGTTAAGCCCAGTTTTAATGTTGGAAAGCCAAAGAGATCTATCTTCATTTGGATTTTTTGTTGTTCTTAGTTGCAGACCGGTCATTAACAGACAGAATTAAAACCATTGCTTAAATGCATTTCATTAATTTATTCATGCACTACTCATATGTTTAACAAGCCATGGTGTTTACCAACACCATGTAAGTCCATTAGTTTGGAAAAAATATATATACAATACATCATGCTGAAAGATAACACAGCCAAAACTCATTATTTTAAAACAAATACATAAAGGTCAGAATTTACACATTAACCAAGGTTTGCCACTTAACATACAGAGACTTAATTAAGGGAATTTAGACTGAAACAACTACCATGATGGTATGAAAGGGTTTGGATAACAGCTATTAAGTAACCTGACAGCCTTAGGCACACAATTTTCATGAGCATCAACAGACATTTGCTACACTGCATGAAAACAGCACTGATTAAACACATATTAAACTGCACAGCATTAGTTCACAGTTTTGAATTTAAAAAAATGAAAGCACATAAAACAACTCTCATAGTCTTTGTGTCTTACAGTTTAACAATTTTCTTTACAAGGAAAAGTACCGTACTGCTAATGCATGCTTTCATTATATATATATATATCTGTTGCCAATACAGTACACATATTTGAAGTTATGTTTTCAGTGATTGTATGTATACACATAAATTTTTTTGTTCACCTATACCATTCGGTACGGTGCAAATAGGAAAAGAGCTGAAAATAAACAGTTAAGGCCTGAAAATCTACATAATTGAAGACTTTATGAAATATCAACAGATCAATATATTGGTTCTAAATAAACAGCAATTGAACTCATAGAAAATATGTCCAAAAAGGGGAGATGGGTAAGTGGCAGTGACCAACTGGTCACACAGTCTAACAGATTTAATCCCATTTTAAACTATGTCAACATATAGCTTTTTTTTGTGCAACATCACCCATCTGAACCTAATAAACTGAAACTTGGACATGGCAGCACAGGAACTGGATGCTGAAAGGCATATTTTTGGCGATTTTCTTATTGGACGCTGGGCTTCTAAACTTTAAAATTCTGATATATGGCAACTTTAAAGTTCAGCATTATTGGCAGTTTGGATTAAAGTAGTTGAGGCTTGTAACAGTAAATATACAATTTCTGCATGCATAACCACCTACTGATCAGGTGGATTTTTTCTCTACAGAGCATTTACTTGTAAATTTAGAAACACACACCAACATTAAACATACACGCAGTGGTTTGTACATCTAAGTTCTGTAGGAATGCAAAGGTTTGATAAAAATATATTAATTTCCAGATGAATTTTAAATAAACAGGAAAAACAAAAGTCAGAGCATAATCATAAAACAAAATAAAGAAAGATTGTGGGGGGTTTTTTTTTCCATAACGAAGCAAAGTGCAGCATCCACTTAAATCCCAGGGTCCTTTCCAGAGTTAGCTTTCTTTCACATCCAGCTCCTCTTCATCCTGCTTACGCTCAGTCATTCGTGCACATCGTGGACAAGTTGTGGAATTGTCAAAGTAACAATCTCTACAGAGGTACACAACAAAAAAACATCAACATTCATGTCAGTTTGGTTATTTCTTTTAGTAACAGTTTAATAATTGGGAAATCATAGTGCTTTGCAAATTGAAGTACCACTTGTTAAACAGAAATACTCCTAATTACCACTTTAGCAATGGAATTTGAAGGTATGTTATTCTGAAGATCTGTTTTATTATTGGTATCTCCACTCAAAACTTTTATACAAACAATTTCCTTTTATCAATTAATTTTAAACACTTCACAAAGAGAAAATTTGCTGTATTTTTGAGCCCAAATCGTTGGTGATGACTAACCTGTGAAAGACAGCAGAGCAGTCATGGCACACTGAGGTGTGACTGTCAAAGGGGAACAGGATGTCTCCCTCCTTGCAAAGCTCACACACAAATCCTTTGGCCTGACAGCGCTACAAATACACACATGGACAGCACAAACCATTAATATGGCACAGAAAGATACAATGATATCAACAAATACTAAAAACATTTCAGCCATATATTAGTACAACATGGTGAATTTGCAAGTCCAACACAGCCCCTCTTCTTCATGATATAGTTCAACAGTGCCATCAGTAGGGAAGTTTGTGCTTTATGTATGAGCTCACCTCGCAGTCTAGTTTGATGTGCTTAGCAAATGTGGTGTGGATCTCTGTGAGGGAACAGCTCAGTCTGCCAGTGGAAATGTCAATCAAATCCTGTAGTGAGTACATGTCGTCGTTCTCGACAAAGTGTTGGCGATCTTGTAGCTGGAAAATATAAATGCAAAAAAAGGAAATAGGCAACTTTCATATTATGAGACTCAACTCTTTAGTGCAAAAAAAGGATATCAGACTCAAGCATAGTTTTAAACACATTATTTATTTATTTTAACAGTAGGGAAACATTTTAAAACAATTCAAACTGACAATTCATAAAAATATGTTTAGTTTAGATTAAAACTGAGCTAATACAGAACTTGAGATCACAAGAGTCAATTTAATTTATGCAAGCTAATTAGTGATATCCAGTGGCTCACCCGACTGTACATCATCAGCCTTCTTTAGTTCAGAACTCTTCACTTCTATCACATGGTGGTGCTGTTTTAACATACTGCTAATAGGCTGCCTGTGTCAGTGCTTCCATTTGCATTTTTCTAAATGGTAAGTAAATTGATAGCAGGTTTTCCAAACTGGGTTGTTTACATTCTTGCTAACTTTGAAGGGTTAAATTGTAAACTCTGATCATCCAGTGGAGACTGAAACAATATTAACTGTTTATAATATGATAATGAAAAAAAAAACTTTCTTAATGCACATGTTTGTTTGTACAAATACACACACGCTTATATACAGCTGAGAAAAAAAGGCCTAGTCTAAATTTGTAAATGCCAGTTTAAAAAAGTTGAGGCTATCAGTTCTTCATCCCAACCTTATATGAAAAGAATCTATTAGCCTATTAGACATTGGGCAATTACAAGATAATTTTATGATTTACATGCAGAATTGTCTAATAGGCTAATAGTATTGCTTGGATCAGGTTTAATTGAGATAATTTATTATAACTAGATAACGTTTCTGCTTGAAAGCAAGTCCTTGTTTTACCCAATAAAATTCAGTGTTGGTCAAGTTACTTGAAAAAAAGTAATCAGTAACTAATTACTGATTACTTCCCCAAAAAAGTTATCCTGTTACTTTACTGATTACTTATTTTCAAAAGTAATTAATTACCTAGTTACTTAGTTATTTTTAAAAACACGATTTACAACCTGAATAGGTGATAAAGCGATAGATCTTTCAGCCCAATTCTACTTTTTCTGCATAATCCATCTTAATCCCTGGTGCAGGTGTGCAGCAGCGGTCAGTTGAAGAATCCGCGAGTTTCTCTGTGAATTTCCCATTACGTCGTAGTGCACTCGGTGCTTGCTTGGAAGTTTAGGGGGGTTTTTTTCGTGTAAAAAGACGTTTTCTTCCCACGCACAACGGACACTAATGTTTTCGTCACTTTTCATGGAATCAAACTCAAAATAAGGTCAGTACTTCCACACTTTAAACGCTGCACGCTCATACTCTCTCCCACACTCGATATATTATCCATTGTTGATCTGTACACAGCTGTTATCACGAACGTCGCTTACATCACTGTCATGAGACATTCTCGCAAAAAAATCACGGTTTTAGTAACGCAGCGTGCTTACGTGAACGTAACAGTAATCTAATTACCGTTTTTGCAATAGTAATCCCTTAAGTTACTCGTTATTTGAAAAAAGTAATCAGATTACGCGTTACTGCCCATCTCTGATAAAATTTACTAAAATCTACTAAAAATTACATCTTAAACCTCTGACAATAAAAAGTTACTGACCTGTAGTAGCAGCCGAGCTTCCATTGCCTCCTTGCAGGTGATAAAATAGGGTTTCATTAACAGAATATCTTGACGAAGTTTCTGCGGGAGAAAACACACACAAACATTTCTGTCACTCTTAGTGAATGGAGTCACTCACCCACTTGCCTGTCCTGGCAACACTGAATGAAAAAAAAAAAACATTTAGGGATAGGTTGGCTGACAACACAACTGTGAAAGTAATTATTTATTTAAAACAAGTCTATTAAAAATAAGCTGAAAAATAAACTTCAATGGGAAGCTACCCACCCTGATTTCAACCAGTTCCTCCACAAAGTTGAATAGCAGCGGGTTTATTTCTTTCAGCCTTAGCACCGGGCGTGACATCATCAGGGCCAGGTAGCGCATTGAGGAGCGACAGACCTGAGATAGAGACACTATCAGAACACAAACTGGCTCAATACGCCCTCAAAACACACTGACATACCTTCATCATAAGACAGTGAGCTTGGTTAATCCTGCACTGGTCGACAGCTTTAACGAGTAAATGTGCATCATCTGATTCAAATTCACAAACCTCGCCCTGAACTGGGATGATTTTAAAAGTAGGTCACATGCCACCAGATAAATGATTCTACCAGACACGGGAATGTAATTGAGTTGAGTGACATATAAATAACATTAATCTGACTTCCCTTGAGTAAATTTTTAAAACCTGGGGAAACTTCTTTAAAGGATGGTTTCGCAGTTTTGTAGTACTCTTTATGACTAGTAAATTGAGTTAATCAGTGGAATGTCCATGCGTGATATGCATGTATATGTATACGATTCTGTCTAACTTTGATGTAAAGCAGTAGCATCCACTAAATAATATTAAAAGCACATTTACAAATTCCAGCCTCTTTCAGTCCAATCAAAAATGTTCAGATAACATGTTAATGAAATTTAGTTTACACTAGAGATGGCACGATACCACTTTTTTATGTCCGATACCGATATCATAAATTTGGATATCTGCCGATACCGATATGAATCCGATATAGTGTTTTTTAATCAACAAAACTGTTTTTTTTTTTATATCTTGCTGCATTTTGTATAAGTTCATACTCAAGTTTAAAACAACAACTACACTAAAGGTATTCTGTTATACCTGTATTCAAAAAAAAAATATTTCATAGTTCAGCAATACTGATCAATCTAATAAACTTAAACCTACACCATCCTCCCTATTCTGGTATTTTAAAGAGTACTTAGCGTAAATATTAAGCAACCTAACTAATAGGGTTCCAACTCCCAGCAACAACAAAAATAAATAAATAAAAAATAGGGAACCACCCCTCACGCTCCACCTCATGATGCTTAATCGACGTAATCAACCTTAATTTGATGCAGTGTGAAAAAAAATGCACAGAAATCAATTATTTTTCAAGAAATATTAAATAGATTCAACATCTTTCTTCAACAAAATTGCAGACTGCACAGATGGTACCTTCCCAAAGGAAAAAGTACTATAGCTTACTAGGGTATATATATTAGACTTAATAGTCACTATATACAGTAATTGACTTCTATTCATTTTACATCAAATTAAAACTTTGGGTGTAAGATTCGGATAATTATTTATTAAAAGCTAGACATTTTAAATGAGAATAAGAAAGAAAAGTATGTCTTTGTGCCCCCTTTTCCCTGTTAATGCCCTATCGGCCCCCCTGGCTAAACTTTGCTAGATCCGCCCCTGCACAGTTACCAGCGTCAGCTACGTAGAAAAAGATCCTCGAGTAGAAAGTAATATTAAATAAATTCTAACAACAGCTTATCAAGCTTAAACGTGCTGCTGTTGTTCAGCCGCTGGTTTCCTCTTTCTGGTGCAAAGTGGGCCAAAAACAAACAAGAGAGACGGACTCGCGACAGAAAAGCCGATCAGCTGATCATTAAGCAGTTTCATGATTGAAGTAGCAGCAGGAGAGGCAGTCGCTTGTTAAGCTTAACGCAGGAATGCTTTACAAACATTCAGAGATGGACTTACACACTTGCTTTACTTCTCTCGGGGATAACTTTGTCGGAGATGAAATGCCGGGTTGCTAGCGAAGCTCCAAATGCTATCCAGACCACCACAGGTCCCGCATGCCACAGCCGCTCTATCACGTGATGCATACTGCTCCGACGTGCTAACGTTCTGAGGTGAGTTACGGCGTGTTGCAAGTTTTGTGAGGTGCTTTCGTGATATTTAATGGATCGGATTACATTTTTTATTTTTCTCCGATATCCGATCCAGTAATTTAGGTCAGTATCGGACCGATACCGATACGTAATATCGGATCGGTCCATCTCTAGTTTACACATTTATAAATTTTATTTTCATGTGCTGAGTGTATCTGCGGTTGTTGAGGTTACCTTCCTTGATTCAAACTCCCAGTTGTGGATGACACGAGCTGGAATGACGGCCGTGTCATTCCAATGACATGTGCTGCAGTAATACTGGCCAGTGTAGTCACACTGTCTGGCTTCACTAGGTACGCCCCCTGCAAGATAAATACAAAAAAGTACAGTTAAACTATAAAACAAAAGAACATGTACACATCATCAAAATGCATTTAAAATACTATAGAAAACATAAATATATAAATATTCCACAACTAAGGCAACCAGAGGTCATTTTATATATATATATATATATACATACATACACACACACACTCCTAATTGGGCTAACCAAACATAAACACATTGAATTTGTACTCACTCAGTGAAATTTGTGCACGACATTCTGCACAGCGGTAATCTTGCCGGTCTAGTCCTATTTCAGGACAAATACTGAGCTCGTACTCAGACTGGTGGCTGACCTTTGACCTGACACAGGGTTTAGTGATCAGATTCATACACTTACTATGGCAACGATAATAGCATCCTGAAAAAAGAAAGAGATAACTTCAAATTATAATATATAGTTTTGTTTTCGCCATCAAGATTACTCATTGTCTCACCTGTCACTGGTTCAGACAGAAACATTTCATACAACAGAATGGAAGTTAAGCCTCTTTGAACTAGGGGGCAAATGGATTGCACAGATCTCTAATTACCTTCTGAGTGTATTAAGGCTTGAGAGCACAGCAAATGATATTAGAAGTCTGAATTTTGAGCAGTGTTAACAGAAATGTTTCAAACTTTTGGGAACTAAACTTTCGATAATCTTACAGCGCTCTACCAGTATCTACTATGTCTCACCTGTGCAGGTATACCAAGTCTGGATAAGGCCCCAGATAATAGTGCTACACTTATCACAGGTCTGTTTCACACTCTTGCTCTTTTCCTTGGAGAAGCGGTGTTCCAGTAGGACTCTCAGATTAGGCTCATCTTCCTCTGGATCCTTTAAAATGATGCATGCAAAAAACAGAACACACAAAACATGGCTGTAACACTGTTTTGTGTACAGCTGCAAGAGATAGCAACCTATGTGCAATTAAGTTTGTTTACACTTACACTACCTTGTGTTTTGTATAGCCTAAACAAAACTGATGGGAATGCATAAAAAAACATCAAGGATTAATTTCCTGATGTATGAAACTCTTTTGATTCACAAAACTTTTCTGCTGAACTTGGACCAGAAGGCATAACAGCTGTCTTACGATGGAATTTGAAGTGCTCTGGGTAAATTTCATAGATAGAGATATAATTTGAGTTGCTTCACATGATAAAGTTTGAAATGAAAGAGATTATGGATGTTAAGAATCAAGCTAAGCAATTGGATATGTTTCACTGCTTTATTAAAAAAAAGAAGAAGAAGAAGAAGATTCCTTTGTCCGTTATTATCACCGTGACTTATTCTTTAACATTTTTATTATGTTACAGTAATCAGTGTGACACACTGCCTGTGTGTTAAAGTGCTCTTGTTAGTGTTTAAGTGTTGTTAAAGTGAAGAAACTGTCAAATTGTTAAGACATGGGGGGTGACTTCAGAGTAATCTTTCGTGGTCAACCGGGATCTTGCTATTGGAAACAAACTAATGCACTGAAAAACAAAGCCAGATGAGAACTGATACCTTCTTTACTGTTGATGAATGAGCTTGATTAATGAGCTTGTTTATTTGAAAGCCCTTTAATACACTAGACTGTAAAACTTTGTTTTCTATCATTTATAAACAAAAAAGGGAATTTATGCAAACTCTTCGCCAACTCTTCTCCAAGAATGTCTGCAATGCATTTTCACACATTTCATAAAGGGCAAAATACTCAAATCAAAGCAGTTTGGAGTGTTTTAGATGTTTTCCTACCATAGTTATCACCCTGTATACTTACAGGCCCAACATGATCACTAAGAATCTCCTCCTCCTCTGACATCAATCCTCCACACATGGTCACTTCTCTAAGGGTTTCTTAAGAGTTCAACTTGATTTTAAGGTTTTGACCTTACTAAGTCTTTCAGATGACATTATAATTTAAAACTATATTAATAAAACTGAACTTTGCATTTGTACAGATTTCCATTAATATTTAAAGCCTGTTACACTTATCCAAGAACACACAACTACAATATAATGTCATGCCCTTCTCAATTTTCCCCTCAGTCCCAACCTTAAGTTCTTGCAGTTTGAGGCGCAGGTGGATAAGTTTCACTACATTGTCTTTTTGTCTCTCTGAATGCTCTGGCAGCTCCAAGATCAGCTTCTTACATTCTTCTATTGCCAGTTTAAGCTGTTCAATGTCTGATGCCACAAAAGAACCCTGTAACATGATATGAAAATGGAAGACAAGGAAGTTTCACATTTTACAGTATAAACAGTTAAATTGAAAGTGATAAATTATTTTTACTGGGTTACAAATCAGAAAAACGTAAGGAGTACATACCACAGGCCTTGAGAAGTGATCCTCAGCTAGACCGAGGTCCATGGTTCGATCTGAACTGTGTGTTCTGGTCCCAGGGAAAACCTCAGGTCTTGCTTCTAAATTGAGGAAAACATGGCATAAAGCGCTGTTCTTCTTGCAAGCATACACACTACATTCTGGCAAGTGCACTCGGTCACGCTTGCTAATTTCATCCACATGACTATTGCAACTCAAGGCATTTCCTACACTGACTTACCCCTTACGAATTCTTGAAGGGAAAGAACAGCACAAAAATGCAAATGGAAAATTCATGTGTGATTATCCACCAACATTTGGCAATGTATAACTCTGTCAGTTGACAGTCAGGGCGTAGACATACAGAGTCATTACAACTGCTGTTCACAGGCAGAATGAACTTTGAAGTGCTTTATTACTGCTTTATTACTGTCACATTTACATGTCTGCAACCAATCTCTTTCACAATTATTCGTTCTGAATGTGTCAAAATTAGTTAAACCATCCGACATCCCAGGGCTAGCGACTTTTCCAGTCGGGCTACCAAAATCCATCTCAGCCCTGCCTGTCGGGCTATCATAGGAAGGAAAAATATATGTCAATGCTTCTGCATTCTTTCGCAAATGTATCTGGGTAATTTTGTCATTGGCATCAATGAGTCACTGTCAATATGTGACATATTGAAATGCCGTTTGAATTTGTGCTTTTTTTGCGTTCACTTTCACGTTGCGATCGCATGAACTGTGTATAGAGAGCGGCAGTACTGATTGGTGAGTGACAGATTAATTGCGCACCAATTCCTCTGGCATCGTCTTATCAATCGTTAGCTTACTATGCAAACATGACAAGTGAAATCTCCCGCAGCAAGCTTAAACATGTGAGAGGTTGATTGCGCAAAGAATCGCTGACCGTTATGTAAGTACGTGTGTAAAAGCAGCAGGATTTACGCGGTATTTTAGTTCTGCTAGCCAAATAAGACAGGTCAGGGTGAAGAAGGGGCAGCCAAAGAAAAGCCTACCACAAAACGGAAAAGTTATGACAAATCAGACTATGAGGCAAAAAGAAAGCGCAGCTTTTTTGGTTTCATGGACAAAAGAATTTCTGTGGCTGGAATATGACAAGCTAAATAACATAATGTTCTGCCAGGTGTGTTGTGAGTTTCATTGATTTCTGAGTCGACAAGCGCCTTTGTTACTGGGACCAGTAATTTTAAGAAAGACCCATCAGAACCCATGAGAAATGCAAGAAATGCATTATTGCCCAGTCTGCAGTATCTTTCCCAGAACAAACACAATTGCAAAAAACATACTAAAAATAAACCAAGCACAACAAGAAGTCCTGAAAAAGCTGTTTAGAACAGCGTCTATTTGCAAAGAGTGAACTACCATTGGCAAAATTTAGCAGTCTTTGCAAACTTCAAAAAGCAAATGGCCTAGATCTTGGTTCCACTTCCTTTACCCGTGACTTCAGTGGAAATTTCAGATTCAGGATCTGACACAGACTGATTCATGTTCCTACACAGTTCTTACAAGTTCATAGAAATTTCTGTTCAATTTGAACCAAGTATTTGAGTTGATGATTGTAATTTTTATACAGTTGTTGTAGATTTTTATTTTAACAATTTTTTGATTAATTTTTGTTTCCATTACAATATAATATTGTAAAGGAAACAAAACATTAATCTTTTTTTTTTAAATTTGGGCAACTTAAATTTATTTTGGACTACCAAAAACGAAGAGTGCCTGCCCGAAGGGCTACCAGGGATTTTGAAATTCTGCGAGCCCTGTATGACTTGTACTTTTGTTTAAAAACAACAACAACAACAAGAACAACTTTGTATAGAATTTATGTTTTACCAATCTCAATTTCTTTCATACAGTTTAATATAATTGGCACTAGATGTTGGCAGAATGATCCAAATATCAATATTATTGATGCAAATGCTGGCCATGGCATTAGACAGATACTAGTGTGATAGGATCGATGCTTCGTTTCTATCCTCCAAGTTCAGTATGTAGCCTACTGAATTGCGTTAAATAAATGTTTGTTTTTTTATAGTTTAGTATATTTTAAATTTAAAATATACTAAACTATACACTATATGCTACTATACTAAATTAAGATTCATAAAAATATACACAAAATATATACTTTGTGTTGACTGTCACATCTATTTTTTCATATATAACATATTTAATCAACAGAAGTTCACCCAAAGTGCTTTAGAGACAGCACACTTACATTCCTGGTCTTCAAAAAACCCCAAGTTTCAACTTACATGATAGTTAAAACTATCAGTATCAGTACTGATATCAGCAATACTGGCCCTGCATTTACTTAGTGTAAATACATCAATATCAAAATTTGCGCAGCAGTAATTGACACCAACACTTTCACAGTCTGATCAATATCCATTCTTTACTCAAACTGATGTTTGGCATTTTCATCTGTTACAATACAAGTCTGAATTTAAATTAAAGCAAGTGACAAATTAACATTTAAAGTGCAGTGAGAGTAAACTTTCAGCTATCCATACTGACAACTGAGATTATTCTGATGAAGTGAAAAATTAGTAAACAGAACTGAATGATGGAATTTAAAGGTTGAACAAATTCAAATATATTTAAAAAGATTAAGTCAGTGTTTAGCTATTCAAATAATGTTTAATAAACTAAAAGAATCACATTATACAAACAGTGTTGTTACCTGCGTACACCTCTGAACAAAACATGTTGAAGGAATTCAGCCTTGTAGTTCCCAATAGACTCAGAGTAATGAGGCACCGTAGAATCAGAACAGCTATCAGTGAGTCATTCTTGCTCATCAAAAAGCAAAAAGTGTATTTTTCCAAGTCCTAAATTACAGGAAGTGTTACTGAAGTACTGCTTACTCCCATGCGTTTCATTTCCTCTACTTCAGCTACAGCATTTCCAACTTCCTTTTCCTTAGTCACAACAGACCAGTGTCCTTGCTCCTTATGCATTAGCAGGATCTGCCCTACATTACAAGGAAACTATTAAACTAAGTGCACAAATTGATGCAAGCTCAATCATTCAGGTAGGGAAATCTCAAAAAGTTGACTCTGTTCATCTGGATGTAGCATTTTCCATAGGAGAAATGTTTCGTCACTCATCCAAGTGACTTCTTCCGTCTCAGCTGACTGCTTAATGATCAAGAAACTGACCTCACAGCCCATGTTTGTCAGTGGTGCTAGTTTCAGTTATTATGCAAATGTCCTGTTTATACGGTTGGGAAAACCTGCTGAGCCTGAACAAGTCACCTGGATGAGTGATGAAACGTTTCTGCACAAATTAACTTTAATGAGGGATTTATTGCCTATACAGTAACTGAGATATACTGCTTGTGTTTTTGAAAAGGAAGCAAACATACATAGTGACATTAAGAAAAAACTGGAACCATGAATGCAAAAAAACCCCACTTCCCACTGCAACAACAAACTGTTTTAGAAAGGTAAATGCCAAGATCACAAATACCACTCACTGAAATGCAGCCGCAAAGCATCACAAAGCCACCACCAGGCTATACAGATGGCTGTATAACTGCAACTTTAGCTTCCCGCAATTAAATGAACATGATAAGAGCAATATTTAAAATGTGTGCGCTCCCAATTAAAATCCAAAGTAAAAACAAATCAAGCACTGTGATTGGCACATGCCTCCATGTGTTAATCACAGCTGTTGGCGGTTCCTGGACTAATTTGGAGTAACACTATGTTGAAAGACAGATATGAAGAGCTTGTCCCTCAAAACATCATCATCTGTTGCTTGGGAATCCTTTGGATTTAGCACAAGTGTCCTGGAACAAATCATATGCAGCTACTTCTATGTGTCTGTACTGCAAAGCAACACAACTTCAATCACCTAAAAAGACACCAAAAACTGCAGTAAAATTCATGCATGAAGGCCAAGAAAACCATTGCAGTGCTTGCTAGCATGAATCATTCAGTACCATTGCAGACATACACCACGTGTGCCCACTAAAGAAGTTGAGTAACAAATCTTTCAGGAAAATGGTAAACTTACTGCACAAACCATATGTTATCCTGTCATGCAGTGTCCTGATAATTTTGTTTAGTTAGGTTTTGGTACTGGTTTTTTTCTTTTAAATATTTTTATTTTTCTTTAAAGATAATTTAGGTGAATAAAAAGGACCAATTTTATTTTCATGCAAAGATCTGGACAGATGTGAAGATAGGAAAGCAGTGTTGTGGTTACATATGATCTCAATCCATCCATCCACTGTCTTCCACTTATAATTGTCAGGGTCATGGTGGGGGCTGGAACGTATTCCAGCTACCATAGGGCGAGAGAGGCAAAGCACACCCGGGACAGGTCGCTAATCTGTCACAGGGCCAACACATAGAGACAGACAACAATTCACACTCACATTCACACATGAGCAATTTAGAATTACCAATTAACCAAACCCCACTAACTGCATGTCTTTGGACTGTGGGAGGAAGCCAAAGTACTTGGAGAGAACCCACACAAACACAGAGAAAACGGAAAAGTCAGAGAAATCGATCAGTGTGAGGTGTAAACTCTGTCTATATGGCTTAATACTAAGATGAAGCAGGCAAATGAAAGACAACAAAGAAAACAATGTATATTATTTTCCTGGATTTAACTACAGGTGTGAAAGCAATCCTTAGACAGTTGTATCATAACTTGTGGCAAACCTCACCATGTTGCGGGGGTGTTTTGTCTCCTTGGGGACCATCCTCTTCCTCTCCACGATCAAATGGATTGAGGCGGGTTTGGCGAAAAAGTGCAAGTCTCTCATCATACTCCATTTTATTGGCTACATCTAAGAAAGACAAACAAAACAAAGCAATTGTCTTCTCTTGGCTTTATGTATTGAAACATTACGAGGAATCTCAGTTTCCTTTCAGAAGGAAGCTGGTTAGCCAGTGTTTATACTTGGTTCGGCTTACTGTGCAGTGATAGACATTGTGTTGACATTTACTTGGTCATGAGCTGTTCATGGGTCATAACTCTCACTAAGAGCCCAATGGTTTCAAGAAAAATAAAGGCAAAATATGTGCTGCATGTTACAAGCAGAAATATGAATCCGTGCACATCTTTAACTTCGTTCAAATACATAATACATAGTCCTGAATGAGAGTTATACCAAAGCTACTGCTATTTTATACTTGCAATTTAGGTCAGATCTTAAAAAAGATTTAGTCTTACACATTACAGAAAAAGTTCCTTTTAAAATGAAACAAAATCTACTTTTTCATCAGATCCTCCCTACCTCACAAAACTCTTTCAAACTTTCAAACTCCACATCCATATGCTAGAATACCAGAGAATACGAATGTCCTGTTGAAAATTGTAACCATAACGAAGGAAACTCTGATACATAATTAAAGGGTTAAGGGTAGTAGTAATTGTAATTTAATTCCATGTAGATTTTATGAAGCTACACTAGAGACAGCCTGACAGGTACACTAGCACTCCCTTTGGCTGGTTAATTACCATTAAGTCTCATTTTCACTGAGGCTGAAGATGCATGAATCCCAGTGGTATGTGTAAGCTCTACTTCAACAGTCAACAAAAACACGCCCTACAGACATTTTATGGACGACTTAAGTAAATAAGGTCAAACGAGGTAACACTGCAAATACTGAAAAGACCGAGAAACGTTAAGTTGGAGCTTTATTTCACTAATTATTACCACTTAAGGATGATGCTGCAGTAAGTCATAATGTGCTAAGAGGTAACCTTAATGTTATTTCGTTCATCACAGCTAAACAGCTTAACAGGGCGTTAACAAGGCGCTAAAAGGGCAAGTCCATATCCAAACACGGATGTCAACAAACAGCTAATGCTAGCTAGCTAACAAGCTTTTAAACCAGCAAGTCGTCCGTTGATTTGATGCTAATGTTTGGTCATTAAAGCGGCCGTCTAGTTGGAAGCTTACCCCGTTGTTGAACGAATTTATCAGCAGCAAACTAGCAGCTATATTATAATATAATAATATATTTTGTGGACGACGTTTATGATGAATATAGAAAGCCGTCCCCGTTTTGTTTTGCCTCTGTCATGGGTAACATCACACAGGGGGAAAAAAAACGTCAAGTCATACTTCGTCAAAGTAGCGAGTTCCGGCGAGATTTTCAAAATAAAAAATAACCATTGCCATAATGAAGTAGTGTAGAAGAAATAAAAGAAACTCAAGTGGTAAATAAAGGCTACATTTAAAGCGACATCTGTATTTGCAACTTAGTAAATATGTTTTGACACGTGGTATACCAATATAGATTACTGTTAATGGTGTAAAATAAAGCGGTACCTTTAATTTGAAAAGAAACATCATCCTCAGTTTTTCTCATTTTATGTGATTTTAGGTACCTTCCAATTAATTTCCTCAGTAAGATCCCTTTAAAAGTGCTGACTGCATGTCTTTTTCTTTTTTATACACATCATCTAAATATAATCCTTAAATGAATTATTAGTTGTACTGATAATGAAAGAAATGTCATACAAATAATACTTTTCTCTACAACAAATACAATATAATTCTCCTAAATGGCAGTTAAAATTATTATTATTATTTGTTTGTTTGACCGCTGATTTTATAGTTCCCTTTGGCTTTTCAGTGGCTTTTGTTTGCTTGAAGACAAGAATGATTTGTGTAGGAAATTCCATTTCAAACTCCTCATTTTAAACTGGGAATTTTTGGATTCATGCAAGGACAAAACGCGTTTCATGCTGCTTAGCTCAAGGGTACAAAAAAATGAGGTCACATATTACTGGGGAAATAAATTATTACAAATTTAGCACCTGAACACTGCACTCTGCAAAACCATATGTTATACTCATCTAATGTCATTTTCATAAACTGTCCGTTTTAAATACCACAAAAGGATTTCTGAAAAATTAGAGTTAGTGACTGGTCATAAATATCACAGATGCTAGCTTTAAGGGAGAATGTTCATGAGCTTACTGAATATGGCAAATAACATCTTCGCAGCAAACATGTTGCGTAAAAACTGAAAAAACAAAAGAAAACGAAAATAAATAAATAATAATCAATACAGTGTAAGCAGTCTGTTTATATCTGGTCCAGTATATCAGTGGTTTTGCTGTTAATACACAAGCAACTACAGAGAAACCTTTTTAAGTGTGGTTTTATTACCGTGGCTTGTTGCCTTGGTTAAAAATGCTTAAAAATGTAAAAAGCACTTCAGTGGAATATGATGAAACCAGTTCAAATAAAGGAGGGAGAGGGTACTGTTGGAGTTCAAGGTTGTTGCACATATTAAATAAAATTTTACATTATCCCCTTAGCAGCTGACAGTCTTTTTATAACATTTCTCCAATAACAGTATTCAGTATTTGGTTTCGGAGAAAATGTTTTGACCACCAAGCTTGTTATGAATTATAATTTACAACAGTTTGGGAGTTCCTAGAAGTTATTACCATGTATGATTCAACCTATGATTCACACTGAAGATTAGATTTAAAGCTTTGCACCAAGCTAAAATACATAAAGATGGGCTTTAGTAAATCTACATGGAAAGATCCCTAGACTTGTCACATATAAGAAACGTCACTTTGTATTACTTCAACAACAACAACAACAATAATAATAATAATAACCTGCCTTAGTTGGCTTCCAGAGAAAATGAATGCTGATGTTGCTACATGTCTGCCATATCTATGAAGAGGCCATAACCCTATCATAACTGTATTTTTCAGTGTGATCAGTTTGGTGCCTCATTCTTTTCCTTGTTCCTTGTTTTTACTGTTTCTGGGAATGATGCTGCTTCTGTAATCTACTAGGAATCTGCCCTAAAAAACTTTTTACATTGAGTTTCATTTATTTGTGCACAAATGTAGAAAGTGTGTGGCAATGAGCATTTTGTTTTTTTCCATTTCTATTTCTATAGATGATTATTTCCATTACATACAAAGTCTTGAATTATAAGGCCTCGTGGTTACATAAAGACTTTATAGAGCAGCTTTTCTTCAGACTGTCATGTTACTTGTGCTTCTAAGAGTTTCTGAAAGTAGAATGGGAGGCAGAGCCTTCTGCCATGGAACCAGCTCACAGTTTGGGTTTGGGAGACAGAGACTCTCACTGCTTTAAAGATTTAAAGCTTTACCTTTTTGATAACTCTTATCTAGACTAATAAAGTTATAGGATCAGGCTACTTATGGACTTCTTCTTCCCCATTTTCACTCATGCCACTATTATCTCTCTCTCTACTCTCTTCTTTTTGTTGTGGTCTCTTTTCTGTCTCCCACCCAAACCAGTTTTAGCAGATATTCAGCAGGTATTGTCTGATTGTTGAAGTTCTCTTTGCAATCAAAGTTTTTTTTAACTTACAATGTGAAGCTTCTTAGGATGACTGTTGTTGTGAACTGGAACTATATAAAAAGTGAACTGAATTGAAATTAAGATTCACAAATAACCACCATACATAGCAGAGCTGCCTTCCCATGTGGAAAAGAAATAGTAAAAACTTACATGATTTACTCATGAAAGTGGCCACTTTCTCATTACTTTCATACATTGTTTTAGTAAGTATCCAGAACATACAAGTTTCATTTATATAATTTTTCAAGGGATCTTATATCTGTTTTCACTCTTGTATGCTTTTCATCCAAGTTTCACACAAGACAGATACAAACTTTATAAGATTTATATAGATCTTTTCCATATGGGTTTACTTGTTGCATCTAATGGAAACTAAAACACACACCAGTACTACATTCAGACCCCATTTTGGTTCAGCTTAAAGCAGATTTATGGAGATAATGTTCAGTATCAGAGGTTGCAGAGCAAATTTTCACTGTAGAGACTCGGTAAACACGGGTCTTTCATTGTCTTTCACGGCTATCCTAAGAGATTTGTGGACAATGACCATCACATGTGCACGAGTGTGTTAACTTTCAGGGGGTACCAAAACAATTTCACAGTGTATAGAAATGTTTTAGACGTGTGCATGCCTCTATGTTTTTTTTCCCCCTATTGGTCACATTTACGTGCTTCAGATAATCACATTTCAATATTAGATAATGACAACCCAAATAAATACAAAATGCACTCTTTAAATAATGATTTAATTTATTAAGGGAAAAAAGTTATCCAAACCTGCTTAGCACTGTGTTTAGGTGGTCAGGTTATATTCCTTAAACCTATTAACTGCTTGAGCAACCCTCAGCAGCAAGAACTGCTGTCAAACAGTATGGTGCATTGAATCTTTCACACTGCTGTGGAGGAATATTGGCCCGCTCTTTATTTTAACTCAGGTCATGCCAAAGCATCTCAATCTGATTTGAGGGCTAGGTTAATTGGTTATTGTCAATGGGCAACAGGTGCGAATGTGAGTGTGACTGGTTGTCTGCCTGTTTGTGGTAGCCCTGTGGTAGACTGGCTACCTGCCCTGCCTCTATGACAGCAGGGATAGGCTCCAACCTGCTGG